CGCTCACGAGTCGGTCGCTTAGCACGCTTGGCCAGAGCGCACCTGCCTCCGGTGCCGAGAGCATCAACACCACACTGCAGTCTCCGGCACTCTGAGCATCGTCTGCTGATGGCCATCCATGTAGACATTGGTGGCGATGCTCTCGGCACCAGAGGCAGGTGCGCTCTGGCCAAGCGTGCTAAGCGACCGACTCGTGAGCGTGAGGCTGGTGGTTCGACTCCACTCGCCGGCCGGTCCCATTTTCATGTTTTCCTTATGGTCCATGATGACGCTCGTCCGAAACTCCTCCAAAAAGCGATCACTATTAGGACGAGATTCCGACATAGTTTGACGAATTTCGGACGACTTTGAGACGCCCGAAACGGTATCCATACGTCCGAACGTCGTCTTAGAGCAGTCAGAAAACTGTACCAAAGTCGTCCGAAAATTTCAGACGAGTTTCGGACGAGTTTGGGTTAATTTTCGGCAATTTTTTTTACACGGGCACTGCTCCCCTTTGTGCTTCTTGTCTTCTTCTTTAGCAACCGCGCGCCCGGAGCGGGGTACCCTATTGAGTTCTTTCTTGTTTAAATGCATTCTTGACGGGGGATTCTGAAAACAGGTTGTGGCGGTCAGGTATTTGTGTGCTGGTGGTTTTCTCGGGGGCCTGCATTGCTGCCGCTTATGGTGGTCTCAGTTCAACAAGTCAAAGGTAAAGAACGACTTCTCCACATCGTAATATGCTGATGGGCTATGAAAATTTGTACTCACTCTGGAAACCCGAGTGTGTTCATGTATGCAGTAAATACTGCGTAAGGGCGAGTGGGGCTGTGTGTCACAGATTTTCGAATTTTACTATAAAAGTCAAGTTATGTAAACACATTTGGTAAATCGGTCGCAAAAGAGTAGATTGGACCTTTACCAAGCCTAAACGTCCCTCGCATGTTTTGCTAGGCGCATTTTTGTATGCACTGTTAAATTCCTGCGCAGCATTTTGTGACGCTTTGCAATTGCGAAGCGATGCTTTGCAGCGTTTTAATTGCTTCGCAATTGCAAAGCATCACTTAGTAATTGCGAAGTAAATGCTTCGTAGTTACAAAGGAGCAAAATACTTCGCAGCTCTGCAAAGCGAATGCTTTGTAGGAATTGAACAGTGTGACCTACAGCTTGTTGAACAAAGGCCTGCCTTTGTTAACATTGCCTGCAAACCGGGTTTGCGTGACTTGGCCGCCCTCTCACCGCCTTTGCACCTCCTTAACCACGGATTTATTGATTGCAAATGACCTTAGTCTTTCAGAAGACATAATATGAACATTCACATTTGGTTCTGGACGTGCCCTTTTCGAAATACAAAGGTCTGTTACACACTGCCCCTGTGTTGTGTAATAGACTATTCCGGCGGAAGCGCGGAGAAGACTCCACGGAAGAACAAAAGGGATCGCTATTGGCCGAGCGGCGTCCCCCTCCACTACGGAAAGATGGTGGGAGACGCCGCTCGGCGAATCACGGGCCCTTTTGTTCTTCCGCCGAGTCTTCTCCGCACTCCCGCCGAAATAGTCTATACACACTGCCCCACCCCCCCCTTACATGAAGGTATTCAGTATTTACTGCATACTTGGCCATGTATTCAGGAAATAGTGCGTACTTGGCCATGTATTCATTATTTACTGCGTACTTGCTTGAGTACGCAGGAAATAATGAATGCATGAGTAGGCACACGGATAACAAGGGCTCTGACCTGAGTCGCTGCAACTATTTTAATGCGGGGAATAAGATATATTATTGAAAGACGGATGGTAAAACTAAATTTGTTTAAAAAGTAACATTTAAATAATCTAAACCATTAGAAGTTTGTTGTCGATTATTCGTCAGACCTGTGCTGTTGTTACAATGCTAATTGTTGATCCGTCTCTCCACACCAGTGGGAAATACATTACATCAGCCCTATTTGTTTGGGCACTGCTCTGTGAAGTGCCGGGGTCTGTTCGCACCAGCACGGGAGCGACGCAGTACGTCATCGTTGCTTGGCTCATTTTTGTGCTCAACGTGAATGTGGCGATCAAGGGAATGCTATCTGCTGCGGCATTGGGGCCCGTTAATAGACCGTATCGTACACTTCAGGTACGAAAATTGGCAAAATAATGGGCGAAGATGTCAGTCCAAGTCTCGCGTAACAGGCTTCGCGATATTGTGAGGGTCGTTTTGTATTATATAATAAAGGCAGATCAAGTTCAAAGATCGGCATTCTAGTTCAAAAATTGGCCTGTCAAAAGATTCAAAAAGCAAATAAGCCTTAAAAAACCTTTTGTTCCAAAATCTCTTTCTAAGGAGTAACTCGGCAGAGGAGAGCCTTAAGGCGAAAGTTCCGTCCGTTTTGCACTATCTCGAACCGTTTGGGCGCTAAAGGGAGTTCCCTACACGGAAATCACCCCACAACAAATTAATATTTTTCCTTAAGTATTTGATGGCCCCCTTTGTGGTAACAAGCCTGTCCCGCCAGACGTGGGTACAAAGGATCCAAATTCTTGTCAAGTTTGCAAAGCATCGCTTTTGAAGGAACTTAAAAGTGTGCGCTTGTTGTGCCTATTGGCGGTACACGCGCTCTTTTAAAAGCCAATAGACAGCCGTTCATTTATTTATTTATTGCAGGATCTGAGCAAAGGTGATCCTCATGTTGTTGTGGGAATCCCCTCTCACTTGTACAGTGACGCTCTTCACACAATGGGTTTTCCTCCCGAACGCCAGTTTCTCTGCGTGGGGTCTGAGCAAGAGCAGCGCTGTCAGAAGAGGTTTAACAGCGATCAGCATTTTGCCGTCGTGAAGGTACGACAATTTGTCGCTAAAGGAAAAGCTAGGATCGCACTGAAGATAAGCTATAGGCCCCCGTAAAATTCGTTTTATTTCAAGCGAAGGCATTGTTACTAAAATTGGCGAAAAGATTGTTCTTTCGAGCGTTCTTTTAGTCTTTTAGTTTTACTTCCATCAAGGTAAGGTGTAAAAGAATGTTAACACTTCGCGGTAACTGCGAAACTAACCCCCGCTGAAGAAAAGTAAATGATTTTATGTCCTTATGTAATGAATTATCGGAAGTTTATCGTCGGCTGTTCAGTTGTAGTGTTGTGAGTTTGCCTACTCACTCGGTAATGCGTCATGGCCTATGCGGCACGAAACGGTATGCGAACCGACAACACTGATCAGGAGGAATCGAGGGAGCCCACTTCTCGCTTGAGTGGGGGAACTTAGTCTGGAGGGGAGGGAGGCTTGCGGAACTATAGAGGGTGCTTCGACGGGTGCCTACAATATCCTTTCTGCAACCTGGCTCGTTCGCTTTTCTCTCGGACGTCACATTAGTAGATGGGATATTGTTGCTGGCACAGGTCAGGTCGCCCTGCTGTAACGACTCTCACTGTTAAACCGGAAGTTCCAGTCTCATACATCTCTTCCCGAATCTTTAAATCTAAAAATATCAGAACAACCCAGTTTTAGGGGGTTTGGAAAACTGTTATCAATATTCTACGGTCACATTCCCTTATAAAACGAAATCATTCCGAAACTCGTCCGGGACTGTTCCAAAAGCAGTCCGATCGTCTCGGAAACTTCCAAATATGTTCCAGGACAGTCCGTCAGCAATCCGAGTCCGATCCCGGACTGTCCGAAAGTAGCCCTCGGCACCTAGGACTGTCTGTAAAAAGTCCGGTGCTACCCGACAGTCCCTAATAAGTCCGGTCCGGGACGTCCGAAGTCAGCCCGACTATCATCCCGGGTCGTCACAGGACGGTCTCGAGATGTTTAAGCACATAAGACTTGTACATTTTTTGTGAAATTTGGCAAACTATATCCATACAATGATTTTAATAAAATATGAAAATTTGTAAAATCTACCTATTACCCATATTCAACTTTCTGCTGAGCACTGAAAGCGCCAGGAAAATTATCGGACAAAATTTAATTTTATTTTGTGTTGGCAATTTGCCTCTTTAAATTTGAGTAAACTAAACAGGCATATTTAATTTTTCTAAAAGGTCGTTCATCATGACCTGAGCAAAACATTTCGTGCGATGCAAAAGCATTTGCCGAAAACCGCATGACGATGCGCTGATTCGTTCGTTGTGTACAGCGCTCGTCTCGCAAGAGATTCTAAACCCAGGTAAAGAGGCTCCCCTGTGTGGCCCCTTCTCAGCCGTCAGCGTAGCTCAGTTGGTCGGTCAAGGGACCCGATGACCGACAGGTGAGGGAACGAATCCCGCTCGTGCAGCTTTTTTTTTAAGCCGGTTGGACCATTTGGACTAGTCCGAATTCGGACTACGTCTTTAAAGACGTCCGGGCACGGGCATCGGACAGACCGATAGACGTCCGGTCGCGGCCTTCGGACAGTCCGAAAACTTTCTGATTTGACACATTTTCGGTAGTATTCTCGGCAAGGTCCGGAATGTCGTCTCGGACTGTCCTAGGACTGTCCGAAAATCGGACTGATTTCGGTACAGAGCATTTTTATAAGGGTTTGTCTAAAAATATAATTCAAAAAATAGCTTTTGGCCAGGCTTGTTATTAATGGGCGCCACTATTACTAGTGAGACGATATAGTAGATCTAAACACTGTTGATATGGTTGCAGATCACCAAGCTGGCGGCGGGCGTCAAGTGCCTGACGAGTTGCAGCTACGAGTTGGAGGACAACCTGCTGCAGCGATCCTTCGCGCTGTTCGTTAGGCGATCGTGGCCGCTGCGGGGGGCCCTCGATGATACCATCCGGAGGCTGCAATCAGCGGGCCTGATCGAGGCCTGGGTAGCGCGGCACGAGCACCTCAGCAGGCTGGCCAAGGCCCGCGAGGCACAACGGCTGCACCCACCTCCGAAGAGAACGGCGGTGCTACCCGTTGGAACGTGTGTTGTGCTAAGCGCCGGCCTTTCCACGGCCATCGCAATGTTTCTTGCCGAAATCGTTCTGGCGAGAGTTTTGCACACAGCTACCACTTGAGACAATAGTACTGTGAAAGTATTACCTCTATGCCCCTTTAAGGGCCGGGGACGTCAAATGACCGTTGTTTTAAAACAACCTTCACTTCAAGACCGCTTATGGGGTGTCACCTTCAAGACAAGTGAGCTTTTGGGCTTGAGAACCTTATCTAAGGTTGTAAACAAGATAATTTCAAAGCGCAAATGATTTCTGACGGACCGAAAAAATCTTTCCTTAAACCCCAGCCAACTGCCGTGCCGCTGGCGATTCGTTTACGGCCTCGTGACGTCACCGAGTGGTGGCTAACGTACCAACTGTTGACCTAAAGAGCATCGACTCGTGAAAGTTCGTGTACTGTGAATACTAAAATAGTAAATATTACTGAATTAGCACTAAATTTTGACTAAATAGTAGAGATATTAATCCTCTCCTGAACTGCGAATACTTGACGTTGGTACCCCCTCACTGTCGGCCAACAAAAGGACCGTCCGACACTTTGAAGCAGTTGGCAACACTCACTATGCAGAGAGTACGAGAAGGCGATTATTGAAAGACAGCAAAACACAGACGTTCACTGTAAAAAATGTTTGGATTTTGCCATACAAGTGTAGGAAAAATCCCATACGCATGTGGGATGCGGAATTTCCCACACACGAGTACGATTTTTCCTATACAAGAAATAGTGTATAAGGAAAAACCGAAACGTATGTGAAAAAGCCGACACATTTGTAGCAAAATGCCTAAAAGTGTTAAAAAAGAAATTTTGCTAATTGTATACTTGAGTGACGTTCGGCCTCGAGTCGCTCAAGTATACCATTGGAAAGGGTTTTTTGAGTAGAATCAGGAACACTCATTGTATATTGGCGCCGGAGTCTGGTTTTCCTCAAAATGTAATATACATACGTCGCCGCTAACCTTCAGATGCACTTTGAAGACGACAGAATAACTTATACGTTTACGGATAGTCCTGACATTGATCGTTACGTCTGGGGTTTTTTAAACATTGCCCCTAAGTCATAGACCACGACCGACTCGAAACAGCATCCTTTCCTTCTCAAAAGTGGCTTAGATTACAGTTTTCACACTTCTTTCAAAATGTCCTCTGCTTGCCGTGGTGCTTATGACGAAGACATGCTTGACGCGCAGAGCCGCTCAGCGCTGCGGCAGTCGCACGAACTGCTACGGCGTCGAAGATCTACGGGCGCTCGTGTGTACGTGATGGGTCGGCGTACCGATGCGAGGCTGGACAGGTGCAGGAGGATAAAGTAGATACACTACTACTCGTCTTCGAGACCGCGTATGGGGTGTCACCTTCAAGACCTTAGCCTACCATCTCCGGCAAAAAGTGATCCAATGGTGGGAGGGGGAATGGAGGGGGGCACTTTCAAGCATTGGTAGGATTTATTATGAAAAATGAACAACTAATTAGCATGGTCATAAGGGAACGTAGGAAAGAACAGTTCTATTTGTTACCGCATGGACCTCCCCCATGACATTGTGACTTGCACTTTTGTCCTGCCTTTCTACAAGTGCACTTATTGGTCATACATCTTCCCTTGTAGTTGCATTTTTTGAACCCTTGTCCGCCGAGGATAGACGACTTAGAAACAATGGTCCTAAAGGGATGTTCAGTCTCGGGGACCACATCAACCGACACGAACTTCTCTTTAACCACGTCGAACTGGTTCCCTGAGTAAAGGGACGCAAGAACTCCGTTCTTGTTCCCCAACTTTTAGTAACCGTCCGACATGACCTCGAGAACGACTGCCGTGACATTTCTGGGGTCCGCTCGACCTCTGTCCACTTGAGCCACTGGAACGACAACAGTATCCCCGACGGATGCTGGGGGGAACTTCGCATCGGAAATTTTCAGCATTGTTGCAGCCTGCTTGCGGAGGTTCTTCTCTGCCGTCGCCCTCAGCCCCAGCACAGCAGTGGACCGCGAGCAGTTCCCACTTTCCTCGCTTGGCGCAGCGGGGGTGCAGCCCCGTGCCGCACTCGCTGCACTCGTCGTGTGCGCTGCACGCCTCCCCACACTGACGGCAAGAGAACAGGGAGCAAGACAACAGGGGGCTGCCGGCTCCGGCTGCTGCGGAGGATGTTGATGGCGCTGCCCAGCCGACGAAGCGCGGCGTGGAGACTGGAGTGGCGGTCGCGGCAGACGGGCGGTGCGGTCTCCTCAAGATGGATGGTCCAGGCGGAGGAGAGGTGGACGGACGGCTGGTTGGAGGTGTTGATGGCGGGGGCCGGACAGGTGGAGGGCCAGTCAACATGTGCAGCGGAACTCCTCGTCGTGGAGTCGTTCCTGTAGAGTGCTGCGCTGCTCTTCAAACTTCTCTCGGTTCGGCGGAAGGTCCCCCATGTTGCACAGTCTCGCCGAGAATGTTTAAAAGTAGCGCCAGGCAACCACACCCCACCACAATCCCGTCCGGTACCCCCTCCTTGAACCCCCTCAACAATGATGGAAGAGAACATTGGTGATTGGTCAAGGCGCCCCTCTCCCCTCTCCCTTCATAGCGTCCCAGGGTACCCGGAACGTACTTTAGCCGGACATAGCCGGCTAAGTAAGGTCTACCACAACCGGTTAAAGTAGGCCTCAGCCAGCCTTAGCCGGCTATAGCAGGGCTCTGTTGGGTGCATTGTACACTTTAGCCGAAATTTCGGCTAGGACCGACCTTAGCCGGCTAGGGTCGGACCTTAGCCGGGCACCCGACCTTAGCCGTAACAGAAACATTACTACTCGTTTTCGAATGATTTTCCTTTTAACGAAACCGCATAAACTCTTTCTTGTTTTCGAACAGATCTCAGCCACACGTTGTTAAGGTAATCGCCGCGCCTGCAGGCACATGCGCACAAAGACCTGGGCAGCGCAGCGGTACAGGCCCCAGCCGATAGGGCAAGGCGCCGAATGGCACAGCGTGCTCAATAGAAGAGAAAATCATTCGACGACGGCTGGTTTGAAAGCGTGCACCACCTGCGCGCTGCGCGCCGACAACAACAGCAGTGGCGCCCACAATTTTCCTGTGTACCCGTGCAAACCACTCTATGTACCTACCTTTTGAGCGAAACATGTACCTACATAGCAGAGCCCTATTTTGGGACATTGCACTGTTAAAAAATTTGCTGTAAATTTACAGCGAAAATGTGATTAATTTTGATAGCAGCATATACTGTATTTTTACAGGCCTTACTGTAAAAAAGCAGCGTTAATGAAAATGTCGAAAACAAAGTTTCCGACCAAAAGCAGTTACTTTGTTTTGCTCCTGTAAAAAAAAAAATATGTAATAATACGAGTGTCCTGTTTTGGAACGAAATGTGCTGCTAACAAAATTAACTTCTCTTTTCTTGTAAATGTACAGCAAAGTAATACGTAGTAGTTT